CATCCTGACCAGCATTTTGGGTTGAAACCAAAGTCCTGTCTGAGGACCTACCCGTGCAGGGTGGTCTGCGGTAAACAGGCACCTAGGGCCCAGGGTGGCTACCTCCGGGTATTCACTGTCCATTTCAGGGCTTGGTATGTGTAGACAGGGTCTGGTCCACCTCCGGTTGCCTGCCCCTCCCTGGCGCTTTCTGGGCACTTTTGTTAGAATGTGGACTTGCCCTCGTTGTGTAGTTGTGAATCTGAATTACAACTCGCTGGCCACAGGCATGTGGGTCAACTGGAGAAAGAGTTGAATGAACAACATGGTGTAGGACAAAGGCCAATGGCACTTGTCTCCCCCTCCCGTCTTCCTGTCTTGATCTGCCTCTGCCATCTGGGGAAGGGGTACAGGGCATGGATGTTTGGCCTTTGTAGGAACAAAACATTTGGACGGCTTCGTTCGCCTGCCTGTCCCCATGCTGAGCTACGAGCAGCTCAGCCCCTGGGAAGCTCCGTATTGAGCCTATCCGGTGATACGTCGGGTGGCCCGAGATGACAGTGCTCAGCACACATGACATGATTTCCCTTTGGCGTGGCAAACACCAATCATCAATCCTGATATTTTTTTCTTCCAAATCTGTATAGAATTTCAAAATGACGCGTACTGGAGTTCCCTGCAGCCACTGCCTGCACATCAAAGTTGACATGTTAAGTGGAAACTTTGCCATCTTGTGCAGGCCAGGGGGCAATCCACTTCACCCAGAGCAGTGCACCTGGGACCCTGGGCAGCCTGCGGCCAGGGCACGGCCTCCCAGCCCCCGCTATGGCCAGAAGTTGTCACCATAATCTGCACCACCCTGTGTGCCCAGGAGTGCTGTCCTCTACCTCGGGACCTGTGAGCCAGGGCGCGACAGGCAGTAATTAGGGGCCCGGGCGGGGCGCTCCCGGAAACCGCTCCTCTGCCCGGAGCCGCTGCCAAGCCTGTAATTTCCCCGCTCAGCCCAGTCCAGCTGCCTGGGCCTGTCCCCCCCACCCCCCTAGGCCCAGCGGGGCGGAGGCAGAAGCACCATGTACCCCCGGGGCACATCCCCAGTCACCCCGCCCCCCGAGGAGGGGCCCCGGGACCACAGGTGTGGAGGCCAGGCCCTGCTGGGGGGCAAAAGCCCCTCCACAGGCACCTGGGGGGACAGGAGCAGATGCAGATTGTGCCTGGACTGTGTGCTAGGGGGTGAGCTCCCCATCAGTAGAAGGACCTAAACTCTGGTCCAGATGTGAGGCAACCAGACTTGGAGCCTCCTTTGGGCTTCACTTTCCCACCTGTACCTGTGGGCACTGGGCCTTCCGCCAGGAACATGTCTAACCCTTTCTCACCCTGCACGCAGAGACAGCCTCATGACCCTGGACTCAGGGCTCAGGTGGCGGTCACAGATTGGCTGGTAGGACAGGAACCTGTTTGCCATTCGAGTCCTCAGCTGACACTTGTCTTCCTAACATCAAGGATTGTCTTTCAGGCAAATGTAAATTTGAAATCAGCCAATTATTTCAACAGTTTTTTACTTCCCCTGGTAGCCAGCACCCAGTGGCGGCCTGGCACAGCCAGCGGTGCGCCAGGGGTGTCTGTCAAAACCTCCTGTCGGGCAGCACGGCACGAGCGCCTGGAGCTAAGTCTCACTGTGCGTGCACAACAACTGAAAAGCCTTCGCCTGGCTCCCTGGGTGCCGCTCGCAGAACCTCTGCAGCCCGCGCAGACTCTAAATGAGATCCAACAGGAACTGCCCCGAGCAGGACGCAATCGTGAGTGGACACAAAGCCCGTGCGTCTCCCTCCGTTTATTGCACGGTGCGGCACGCGCTCGCTGCGTGTGTTCTGTTCCCAGTTGTCAGTTTGCTGAGCCCAGGACAGCAGCCGAGGGAGCGGCCCAGATGCCGCCCTTTCCCTTCCTCTTGCTCAGGCCGTGGCTTGTGTACCTGGTTGCACAGGACGGAAGGCTACGCACAGGGGGACGGTCAGGCCCGTGGACAGCCACGAGGAGTCCATGACTGCTGCCAGGAAAAGGCTGAGGAGAAAGGTACAGCAGCCTCGAGGTTTGGGGAGCACGAGGCTGGCCTCGAGGCCTTGTCTGCTCTAAGGTTTTCTAAATTGGGGAAGTAACCTGTTCTGGAAAAATCCAGAAACAGGAAAAGAGGCCGCATAGCAAGAGGACAGAGGTGTGGAGTCAGATGGGTCTGAATCTTGGTTTTTTTCTGTGGAGCAGGATCTTGGTTCCTTCCTTGCAAGCGAGTGTGAAGATCACATTTAGGACAAGGTGTCCCCCCCAAAAAAAAAAAAAAAAAAAAAAAAGGACAAGGTGTCCCACGTAAACACTTAGCAACTGGAACTTGCTGGCATTATCACAAGGAATTTGCTGACTGCTTAGCCCTTTCTGTGCTTGTCCACCAAACCTCCTCTCAGAAAATGTTCTGCAGATGCTTTTTCCTACAAAATCTACACCCTGCGATCCACGGAGGGAGGACTTTGTGTTCTCACAGCTCTCAAGGCCTCAGGGAAGAGTCCGGTTATGGCCAGGCTGGGAATCGCCCCCGGTGCTCCCAGAGGCAGGGGGAGCGCACCAGCCTGCTGAAGGCACAAGGCTTGCCCCATCTGTTGAAAAACGGATTTTTAACTTCTCACAAAAATAATGCAGTTTTGGAGGAAAAATTAGGAAAAAATACAACTGAAGTCACCACAGTTGTATGACTCAGATAAACACAGTATCTGGATGAATTTATTTCTAGGCTTTTCTCTTAGGATACACGCATAGAGATGTTTACACATTACAGATGTTTTTACAAAATTGGGATCGTACTTTATTATATGGATTGCTTTCAAATATGCCTTTCCCACTTTATTATGCCGTAAAAATTTTCCTGTTAATAAATATTTTTTGAAAACATGGCTTTCTAGGTCGTTTATACCCAAAGCTGACAAGACTGTCCACAACTCCAACACAGGTCCCTAATCCCTGGGGGGGTTGCTGAGGCTGTCATGACCGTGACCGTGACATAGAGCCCGCAGCCCCTGGAGGTAGATGTGCGGTCAGAGCGGGAGCTCGCGTAGCCACAGGCCCGACCTCAGGGCCAGAGCCCAAGGAGTTAGCGCACTGGCAACCCCCGGCTCTGTCTGCCGCAGTGGAGCAGTGTGCGCAGACCGGAGGCCACCTCGGACGGGGGCAGGCCGACCCAGGAAGGCACTCTGTCCTTTGGACCACAGCAAGGCCGCGTGGCACCCTTAGGTCCACTTCTGATGGGCCGGAGCCTTTCCAAGCAACAGAGGTTTGGGTGTGCCGTGGTGGCTGAACTGGGCAGCCAGGCCACTGCACCCCGGGGTGCAGAGCCAAACGGTCTCTGTTCCTTCCAGGCTCATTATAGGGACCATGACCAGGTGTCCCCCTGGGGCCTTGGGCCCCCTGCCATAGACTGAGGCTAGAGCCCAGTAAACCTCCCAGGACCCCATTAAACTAAAGGGAGGCAGGCCGAGCTTCCTCTCCGGGTGCTGCCATGTTTTGGGTGACCTTTGCAGCCTGTCACCTGGGCCTTGGTTTCCCCTCTGTATAGGGTTCTGCTCTGGATAGAGTAATAACGCCTGTGGACACTCCAGAGCGAACCAGGGGGCACGCTGGTGCCCAGTGGGTGTTACCAGGGAAGAACAGAAAGCAGCAAGGTCATTGTCACAGAAGCCAGCGCCCTCTTGGGAGGTGGGCCGTGCCGTGCCCTGCATACACATGCCTTCCTGGCTGGGACTGACCTGTGATGGCCATAGTTAGCCCTCAGAGTGGGGGCCTGTGCTTTAAGGGAAGGTCTCTTTTGAGCTCCACGGGGTCAAGGGTCACCATGTACATCCTAGCAAGATGCAAGGACACAAACCCCAAGCAGGAGCTCAACCAAGGGCTGGGAGTCCACTGGGCACATGGAAGCCAGAGGTAGGGCCAGAATGCCGTCCTCCCTCACAGCAGCTTTGCTGGGGTCACCAGGGCTGGGAGGCACCAGGCCTCTCCTGCACCTGGCTTGTCCAGAGCTCAAGATGAAAAACCCAACCCACTGGATTTGGATGGTCCTAGCAACCCAGCCACAGAGTGTCTAGTGGCCACAGGGCTCAGCAGGTGGGGGATCCTTGAAAGCCCTGGTGTGGCGAGCGATGGGAGAGAAGCCAGCCTGACAAGCTCCAGGCAGTGCCTGCATCAGGACCAGAGCTCAGCATCGGGTGGGACCAGTGGTTTTAGCCCTAGCAAACTTCTCCAAAGATTCAAGTAGTAAATACTTTAGGCTTTGACGCTGTGCTGGTTAACTGGATTCACAAAAAAGGCAGCAGCTGGGTTAGGCCCCCAGTTAGGAGACCTCCTGTCTCCAGGCAAGCACAGGCCCTGGCACAGAGAAGGCACTTTGAGTTATAAAATATCATTTAAAAAATTCTTTAGAGGGGCACCCGGGTGGCTCAGTGGTGGAGCGTCTGCCTTTGGCTCAGCCCATGATCCCGGGGTTCCGGGATCGAGTCCCACGTCGGGCTCCCCACATAGAGCCTGCTTCTCCCTCTGCCTGTGTCTCTGCCTCTGTCTCTCATGAATAAATAAAATCTTAAAAAAAAAAAATTCTGTAGAATGGGGATGCCTGGCTGGCTCAGTCGAGCATGTGACCCTTGATCTCAGGGTCATGAATTCAAGCCCCACATCGGGCATAAAGCCTACTTAAAAAAATTCTGTAGAATGAATGTGAAGGAGCAAATGAATTGTTGAGACTGGTAAGTACACTTGCTGCCTCTAAGGCTGGCCAGTGTGAGCTTAGGAGTAGAGGCAGAAGACGGGAACTTCTCCGGTATTTTTGATTTCCACTGTCCTGACAATGGTATGACAAGGGTACCTGGCATCTCCGGGAATCCACCCAGGGGACGAATGAACGGCTGTGCCCTAACCCTCCGCCAGACGAAGTCAGCAGGATAGCTTCACCACGGAGGCAATCTCTGACAACAACTAGGAACTGGCTGGACTCGGCAGGACAAGAAGTAGGATTTATTTTAGCAGAAGCGACGTCTGGGAGCCACATGGGTGGGCTTAGGAGCAGCTGCGGCAGCAGAGGCCTGGAAGACGCGGCGCCTCTGCCCTCCTGGCCCATGGCCGCCCCAGGGAGAGCCAGAGGAAGCCCGGGCCGCCTCGGCACAAGAGCCGCTCCAAGTGGATCCCAGGAGCCGGGACACAAAGCCCTGCTTGCCCAGAGGGGACCAATGCCCCGAGACGGGGTGACCGCTCCGGGACGCAGGGCGGTGCAGACACGGAGCGTGCAGACTCACACGTATTCCCCGCAGTCGGCGATGATCACCTTCTGCTTTGGCTTCCCGTCCTTGCTGCCCTGAGCCTTCGCGGGGACAGACAGTGACAGAAACCGGTGAGGGTAGAGGGTGATGGGCGGCTCAGGGCCCCTCCCCACGTGCCCCCCACTCCCACCGAGCGGAGCAGCACCCCCCCCAGCTCCCCATAAGGCCATGCACCCAGGACCCAGCAGCCCCCCACCTCGATCTGCCGCAGGACATCCAGGCCTTCTGTGACCTCCCCGAACACCACGTGCTTGCCATCCAGCCAATCCGTCTTGTCACACGTCAGGAAGAACTGGGAGCCGTTGGTGTTGGGGCCGGAGTTAGCCATGGAGAGCAGGCCTGGGGGCGAGAAGGGGTGGCTCAGCCCCTACCCCGGGCCCGGCCCTCAGAGGGACATCTGTGCGGATGGAGCAGTGTAAATGCTGCCTGAAGCCGGCCCAGGATGCAGGCCAAGAACTGGCTCCCGGCAAGGTGGCTCCTGCTGGCATCTGTGGTAAGAGTGGCTGCACTGAAAGGGTGGGGCTACCAGTCTGGCCGAAGGGGGGGCAGACAACAAAGGACAGGGAGTCTACACAACTTTCTTCTAAGAAGTATGCCTCAAAAGGGGGTTAGAGGCCTGGATGATAGTTCACACAAGTCAAAGGATGATCTTTTTTTTTTTTTTTTTTTTTTAAAGATTGTGACTGCAGCTTTACACTGCTGGCCGGCCTAGCCGAGGACGTGGGCCTAAGGCAGCAGGGGGACACCTAAGGGCAGGACGGCGGGGGCAGTGGGCAGCCCAGAAGAGAGGGGCTGGCCCAGAGGAAAGGCGGGCGGGTGCAGGCAGGGGGACGTGGGAGGCCACGCGGCGGCTCGGAGGGCAATGTGGAGGCTTTGGGAGTGGAGGGAGGAGGGCGTCTGACGGGGACTGAGCGTGATTAACCACGGGGCTGCAGTAATGCCGCCCAGGCCCCGAGGAGGTGTAGTCGTGAGTTTCAAGATGACCATTCAGCGTCGTAGCTATTTCGGCCAAGGTGTGGGGGAACCAACATTCACAGGGAGGTGCATGGGACAGAGTGGGGCAGCAGGGCCGAGGGCCCCAGAACCCGAGCCTGCCCGCGCAGTGTGGGCCGCAGTGTGGCCGGGAGGCCCGTGTGGAGAGAAGCCGCTTCCCCGACCCCAGCCAGGCCGCCCGCCACGGCACCCAACCGGCTCCCACCTGGTCCCGTGTGTTTGAGGATAAAGTTCTCATCATCGAACTTTTTCCCGTAGATGGACTTGCCCCCCGTGCCGTTGTGGTTCGTGAAATCGCCGCCCTGGCACATGAACTGGGGGATGATGCGGTGGAAGCTACTTCCTTTAAAGCCAAAGCCCTTCTCGTGGGTGCACAGGCATCGGAAATTCTCTGGCGCAGAGAAAGGAAAAGGTGCTGAGGTCAAAAAACAAAACAGCGCAGTTCCTTGGGCCGTGGGTGCCCTCCGCCTCGCCTTCCGCGTGAGACACAGAAGGCAGCAACCAAAGCCGCCAGCGAGGTGCCGGTGGCCGTGGGGCCCTATGGACGGTCCTAGCCCAGCTGCTTCGGTCACCTGAAGATGAACCCTGTGATGGGCTGCACAGTGGGCATGTGGCCGGGGCAAGGACTGGAATGCAGGTCAGGAGCTGGAGGGTGGCATCAGGAAAACCATGATGCCACAACGCAAGTGGCGGCGCAGCACCTCTGGCACGTTGGTGGCCGTTGGGGGGGGGGGCATCCGGTATTACCGCAGTGGCCGCCCACGACAGCTTCCCCTTCCCGCCACGCCCATGTACCCTAATAAAACAAGTCTTTGAGGAAAACAGCAAAACGAAAACAAAACCCCCCAAACAAAAAAGCAAAACCTAGGCAGCTAGATTCTGATACGCTGTATTTGCTTAGTGTTTGTATTTTCATTAAAAATTCTGCCGTGTATTATAAGCCTTTGTGATCCTCACACCGTAAAGAATAGGAGGGACTGTGGGTAAGAAAGAAACCGAATACCTGAATTCCAGCTCAGCTCCACTGAATGGTGGGCAACCGATTTTTTTTTAAAAAAGAAAAACTAGGGATCCCTGGGTGGCGCAGCGGTTTAGCACCTGCCTTTGGCCCAGGGCGCGATCCTGGAGACCCGGGATCGAATCCCAAATCGGGCTCCCGGTGCATGGAGCCTGCTTCTCCCTCTGCCTATGTCTCTGCCCCTCTCTCTCTCTCTCTCTCTCTCTCTGTGACTATCATAAATTAAAAAAAAAAAATTAAAAAGAAAAACTAGGGGGATCCCTTGGTGGCTCAGCAGTTTGGCGCCTGCCTTTGGCCCAGGGCGCGATCCTGGAGTCCTGGGATCGAGTCACACATCAGGCTCCCGGCATGGAGCCTGCTTCTCCCTCCTCCTGAGTCTCTGCCTCTCTCTATGTCTATCATAAATAAATAAATAAATCTTAAAAAAAAAAAAAAAGAAAAGAAAAACTAAACAGGATCAACAAACAACCCAGTTGATAAATGGGCAAACAACACAGACATTTCTCCAAAGATCTACAAATGGCCAAAAAGAAAAAAAAAGATCTACAAATGGCCTATCAGTTCATAAAAGGATGCTCAATACCATTAGCTAACAGGGAAACGCATATCTAAACCACCATGAGATACCGCTTCACACCCAGTAGGATGGCCGCAATCAACAGAAAATAGTGTTGACAGGAATACAGAGAAACCGAGACCCTCATATATTGGAGGTGGGAACGTAAAATGAGGCAGCCACTGTGAAAAGAGTTTGGCAATTTCTCAAAAAAGGTAAACACAGAACTGCCACGTGAGCACATTTCCACCCGTAGGTATGTACCCAAAAGAGTGGACAACAGGCGTTAAAACGTAAACTTGTACACAAATGTTTATGGCGGCATTATTCACAATAGCCAGAAAGTAGAAACAATGCTCGTACCCATCAACGAATGAACAACAAGGACATAACCAGACAATGGGATATATTCAGCCATAGAAAAGGGATGGAACTCCCAACACATACGAGAACATGGATGAGCCTTGAAAAGATGCTAAGGGAAAAAAGCCAGTTAAAAAGAAAGGACCACAGAGTATATGATTCTATTTATAAAACATGTTTAGAACAGGCAAATCCACAGAGTAGATTAGAGGCCATGAGGGGCAAGAGGGGGAGAATGAGGAGTGGTTTAATAGGCTTAGTTCTATTTGGGGCAAACAACTTTTGAAGACAGTGGTATGGTTGCACAACATTGTGAACGCAATCAATGCCACTGAACTGTACACTTAAAAATAGTTTAAAAAGCCAAAAAAAAAAGCGGGGGGGGAGACAACAGCAACATAAAAGTTTTGAAAGCTAGAAAACAAACCGATGAATCATACCTGATGTAGCAGACTTAAGAAAGCTGCATCTTGGTACAGGCACCCCAATGTTCACAGCAGCATGATCAACAAGAGCCAAATTACGGAAGAGCCAAGAGTCAGTGGAGTATTAGCCACAGAAAGGAATGAAATCTTGCCATTTGCAGTGGCGTGGATGGAGCTAGAAAGTCCTAGGCTAAGCAGAATAAGTCAGAGAAAGACAAGTACCACATGATTTCACTCATACGTGGAATTTAAGAAACAAAACAGATGAGCAATGGGGGAAAGGAAAAAAAAAGAGTGGGAGGCAAACCATAAGTGATGAATCACTAAATTCTACTCCCGAAACTATTATTATACTATATGTTAACTAGAATATAAATAAAAACTTGGAACATTTTTTTTTTTTTTAATTTATGATAGTCACACACAGAGAGAGAGAGGCAGAGACATAGGCAGAGGGAGAAGCAGGCTCCATGTACCGGGAGCCCGACATGGGATTCGATCCCGGGTCTCTAGGATCACGCCCTAGGCCAAAGGCAGGCGCTAAACCGCTGCGCCACCCAGAGATCCCAAAAACTTGGAACATTAAAAAAAGAAAGCAAGCTGACTCTGAAGTTGGTAGAGCTGAGAAGCAACTCACTTTGTGCTGTGGAAATGCCAGAAGCTCAGGTACAAGGGTGAAGGTAGTTCTAAAAACAGTAAAGCTGGCTGAAAGCCTGTTTAAGAAAGGAGCCAACCCCCAGATCCTCTGCCACCCCTGGAGGCAGCCGGGTGAAGGTCTGCTCCCTGGTAGGTTAAAGCAGAGGTCTCTGGCCCAGGATACACTATACGTAGCTGGGGAATGAGGTGCTGTAGTGACAAACAGAGTAAGTGAAAGTTTATGTACTGTCCCCATCTCACACCACCAAGATGGCAAATAGCTGGATGGAGAGCCTCCAGCAGGAGACTAGACTCTTCTTGGGAGACTCCAAGCTGTCCTATATAAGTCAGGGAAATGGACATCCAGGGTCTGACAGAGAAGTACCCCAAATGAATCACCCCACAGTGGATGCTGCCGCCAGCAAGGCTTACCAACGTTTAGGAAGTTTCCAAACAGATTGTTAGCACCCCATTCTTATATATAAGGAAGGCATCTAACGTGAAAAGCAAAGACCAAAACAAACAGACCAAAACCAAAGCAAAACATAACTCAGGAAAAAGTGACCTTAGACAAAAACTATAGGGAGAAAAAACCTTAGTAATGTCCCCAGAAAGATGAAATGATCCTATGTCTGTGAAATCAGCACAGTGTTATAGAAAAAGAACACTTAGGAAGGTTCCAGAAAGAAAGAAGAGAGAAATCAGAGGAGACAAAAGCAAAGAAATAATTGAAAGAAATTTCCCAGCCAGACAAACACTGCCCGTGGGTGTGGTACACAGAGTAATGCCTCCCAGGAGACGTCCATGCCAGTCCCTGGAACCTGAGAATGTCTTATGGCAAAAGAGCCTCGGCAGGTGTGATTAGGGTTATGGATGGACCTTGAGATGGGGAAAGCAGCCCCCATTATCCGGATGGGCCTAATATAATCAAGAGCCTATAACAAAAGTTGACCCAGCTGAGATAGAGAGATTCAAAATGTGAGAGGGACTGGATCCACCATTGTTGGCCCCGAAGATGGAGGAAGGGGGCTGCGAGCCTCCAGAAGCTGGGAATAGCAGCAAGGAAATGGGGATACTCAGTCCTACAGATGCGGGAAACTGAATTCCACCAGCAATCTGCATATCCCCAGAAACATCCTCCCCTAGAGCTTCCAGTAGGGAAGGCAGTGACCCAGCTACCATCTTCATTTTAGCCTACAAGCCTTCTGGCCTCCAGAATGTGAGATAATAAATAAATTTGTGTTGTTGTAAGCCACTAAGTTTGTGGTAATCTGTGACAAAAGCAAGAGAAAACTAATAGTGGGGGGCCCACTGAATAGCCAGCAGATGCAAGATCTATCCAAAGGCACATGGTTTCAGAACACAGAACAGACCCCCTATGAGCCTCTAGGCCAGGGCTATCTAATGGCTCTTAAGCACTTGGCTAGTGTAACCGAGTAAATGGATTTTAATTTTATTTAATTTAAATGTAAATTTACACTTGGCTAGTGGCTACTATATTGCACAGCTCTGGACTAGACAGCAAAATAAAGCTTTTATAAAGGATCAAGAATCAGAAGGACAGGGGCGCCTGGGTGGCTCAGTGGTTGAGCATCTGCCTTTGGCTCAGGTTGGGATCCTAGGATCCTGGGATCGAGTCCTCCATCAGGCTCCCCACAGGGAGCCTGCTTCTCCCTCTCCCCATGTCTCTGCCTCTCTGTCTCGAATGAATGAATGAATGAATGAATGAATGAATAAATGAAGAAGAAGCATTAGGAGGAGAAGGAGGAGGAGGAGGAGGAGGAGGAGAAGAAAGAAGGAGAAGAAATTAGAAGAAGAAGAAGAAAGAAGAAGAAGAAGGAGGAGGAGGAGGAAGGAGGAGGAGGAGGAGGAAGAGGAGGAAGAGGAGGAAGAGGAAGAAGAAGAAGAAGAAGAAGAAGAAGAAGAAGAAGAAGAAGAGAAGGAGGAGGAGGAGGAGGAGGAGGAGGAGGAGGAGAAGAAGAAGAAGAAGAAGAATCAGGATGACTAGACTTCTCTAGAATTCTATACCCTACCTACCGATCAAGTGGGAAGGTACATATATTTAGACTTCACTCTTAAAAAACTTACCTCCCAAGCTCTTTGCTGCAGAAGCTACAGAAGGATGTCTTCTACTAAAATAAAGAACCACACCAAAAAAGAAGACAATAGACAGTCCAACCTAAGAGGTGAACACCACTGTGCTGTGGGCCTGGAAAGCAATGGTCCAGGCTGGAGAGTCAGAGGCTCCAAGAAGGAACTTCTACAGCAGAGAGAAGCTGACAATATCTGGTGTGTGTGAACATGATGACAGATTTACAGAGGCAGCAGAATTGGGGAGAGCATCAGGAATAAATGTACAGAAGATGAAGTGTGCGTGAAAACAAGACAACTACAAATCCCAGGAAAACAAAATGCTGTGCATGAAAGGAGGTTACCATAGTATGATGCTTACAGAGTCAGGATAATTTACGGCCTAACCAAACCTATGCTAACTATATAAGGAAGGTAAAAGGCAGGGAAAGGGATTTAAAAAGCTGATTCCTTATCTCCTGAAGCGGGAAGCCAACAGATGTCTAAAGCAAAACAAAACAAAAAAACACAAAGTAGACACATAAATCTCTTATGTACCAATACAGACGTAAAAAACCAAAAGAACCAGCTATGAGTTGAACGTGGCTGCCTCTGGGCAGCCCCGGTGGCCCAGTGGTTTGGTGCTGCCTTCAGCCTGGGGTATGATCCTAGAGACCCGGGATCAAGTCCCACATCAGGCTCCCTGCATGGAGCCTGCTTCTCTCTCTCCCCCTCTGCCTATGTCTGCCTCCCTCTCTCTCTCTCTGTGTGTCTGTCATGAATAAATAAATAAAATCAAGAAAAAAAAAGAAAAGGAAAGAAAGGAAGAGATAAAGAAAGGAAGGAAGAAAGAGAAAGAAAGAAAGAAAGAAAGAAAGAAAGAAAGAAAGAAAGAAAGAAAGAAAGAAAGAAAGAAAGAAGGAAGCTGCCTCTGAGGAGTGGCAGATGGGGGTGGTGGGGCCCCAGGGTTGGGGGCCAGGACCAAGGGACTGCTGTTTTTCAAAAGAAGTTTTGTGAAATTGGCTTTTTAAACTGTATGTCTGCATAATAAAATTTAGATTAAAAAAAAAAAGAAAGAGTAGAATTCAATATTTATACTAGAAAGACTCAAGAAACTGTTAGTTAACAGTACCTTCTAGAGAATAAAATTGGAGGTGGAGGGGGGAAAAGACTGAAGTTTCCAACTTACTGCCTTTAGTATTATTGGAATATGTATGGATTTTGTGTTTTTGTTTTCTACCATGAATACATGTTTACTTGTATAAAAAACAAACAAAAACAAAAACCCACAAAACCCTATTATTAAAAAAATAGTAAAGCTACCTGTAAAGCTTCAAAAGTGTCTGCTCAGACTCACTTGTTACTAGATCCCAGAATCTGAGATGCCTCAAAACAACTGAGGTCAGCAACAGTGTCAGGGGCATAAGAACCGAGGCAGTGGGAACTGTGGGAAGGCCCACTGCTCAGCCACCAGCCTCGGGCCGGAGTCCTGCTCACCTGCTGTCATGGGAACAACGTCTGAACGCAGCAGCATCTGGATGCGGCCGGCTGGCTTGTTCCCGATCTTGATGTCCATGTACACCTGAGGATTTGACCGGGCCTTTTTGACAGCGGGCTCTCCCTGGGCGCAGAAGAAATCATTAGGTTGGAAACTTTTAAGTTTTATTTTTAAGTAATCTCTACACCGAACATGGGCCTTGAACTCCCAACGCTGAGATCCAGAGTCGCGTGCTCTACTAACGAAGCCTGCCAGGCGGCCCAGGAGACTGAGTTCTCTGAACACACACCAAGGACCCAAATGCAGCGAGCAGGCTGTGGCAGGTGCCAATGGGGAAGGCCCCGGGCCGTGGAAGGGCAGGCAGAAGGCAGAGGCCAGGGCCATGGTCCCCAGCCTGACCCCCAGTGACGGGGACCTCAAGCACTGGCTACCTGAGCCCTGCCCCACAGGCTCGGGACCTCATCACACTCACCCTGAGACGCACCAGCACGCTGCACTCCGGCCTGTGGCCACACAACCACACCCTGGCCTGCAGTGCGCAGCTCTCCACACTCCAGTTAGATGGGACCCCCCCCACTCCAGTTAGATGGATGGCACCATCTATGCGCAGCCCTGCGGCACCACGGGCTGCCTACAATGGAAGCCAGGAGGGCAGCCCTCTGGTGGCCCAGAAGGCCTTGGGGGAGGTAAAGGCCCTGTTTCCTACCGCAAGGAGACAAGGCCAAGAGGGTAAGGAGACCTTTACAGACATCACAAGTGTTCCAAAGAGAAAAATGTCAAATGTTCATGACCGGTTTGGGGTTCGGTTTAGCTGACGCGTGCTAAGGTCTGGTGCTGGCACTGGGGACACGGTGACTATTACCTGCCACAACAGTAGCAGAGAACACGCACAGAGCACTTGTCAACGGACAGGGGGCTCTTCTCAACGTTTATATACGTTAGCTCCTCAACTCTGCAACCATCCTGGAGATGAAACTGTACCACTATTTGTCCCCATTTTATAGGTGGGGAAACTGAGGTACAATGAAGTGCAGTCATTTGCCCAAGCCGAGAGGGTGGTAAGTGGTGAAGCTGGAATTCAAACCTGAATCATACCTCCCCATCCCGAGCCCATGCTCTTACCCACAATCCTCCACCTCACACTTCGATACGATGCTGAATACAAGGCCCCTAACCTCACAGAATTACTACCTAGAAAGGGACAGGCAAGAAACCCCTGAGCGGCCTGCACAAAAGCAGAGACGCACAAGGAAACAGACTGGTGTTCCTGAGGGTGGAAGTGAGATGGCCAGGTGGGAGGACAGGAGCTGGGGAGCACCCCCAACTTTATCCCTCTGGACAGGCAATAAGGACCTACTAAAAGTTCTAGTAGGAGTCAGGGATCAGTGTGTGCTTTAAACAGATTGTTCTGGAGATCCTGATGAAGGACAAGAGTGCACACTGCAGCCAGAGACTAGTTAGGGAGCTTCTGCAATTATGTGCAGAAGAGGCTGGGTGGGGGGGTGGGGCACGCGTGGGACAAATGGGGTAAGGAGACTCAGGAAGGTCTGAGAGGAAAACCTGATGGCATTCGATGTGTTGTGTGCAGGCTGTTTTAAGGAGGAGATCTCTGACTGCAAAGGCCATGGGTGTGCTCTGCTCTGCAACCTAATTGGCTTGGGTCAATATGTGGCAGATACACGGTGGCGAATCAACAAGATGGGGAACAAGATTAGAGAGAAAAGGGCACCCATTCTGGGCAACTCTAAGCTGCCTGTGACACTTGTGGCCGAAAGGTCTGCAGCTTGACACTAGGAACAGAGGCCAGGAAACGCAATGGCACAGCAGAGGCTGCAAAAAAATCAGCGACTGCTACTGTTTTGGCAGGAAGAAGGGGAGTGATGCCCTGAGTGAAGAAAGAAATCCAGAGAACAACACTCCCAGGGAGGGGTGGGAGGGCCCAAGGAGCCAGCCAGGGAGGGAGGCCAGAGTCAGGAGAGTGTGCTGGCAGGCTGCTCCTGGGAATGGAGAGCCCCGAATCTGTGTGCAGACGGAGGGAGGGTGCTGCCACTGGAGGGAGGGTGCCATGACCCTCGCCTGCCTCCCCTGCATGGGACAGGGCCAGGGGGACCAGGAGCCTGTGCAAAGCGCTTCAGTGAAGGAGGAACTGGGCTAGAGGGGCGCAGAGGAGCACTCACTCGCCTTCCTCACCTCGGGCTTCCTCGACCTCAATCCCAAGGGGACTGGTCTGAGTGGGGCAGCTCCTCACACAGGGCACAAAGGTGAGAGACCTAGAGCTTGTCTCTCACTCACTCAATACCACCTTGTTTTTCATTCTCTCTGCTTTTGCATACCTATTTGCAAATTTCCACAAAAGCTTTAAAAAAAAAAAAAAGTCTCCTGTGGAAAGTGCCAGCCCCTCCCAGGGAAGTGCAGGCCTTCGATCTCACCTCCTGGATTTCCACTTTGGGAGGCTCCGACCCTTCCTCCTCTTTATTCTCTTCAAGAGTCTTCCCAGAAAACTTCTTCAGCCAGTCATCATCTGACCACACTGAAAGGAAGAGAATCGAACAAACGCTAAGAAATTCAAGCTACCGGCAGCCACCTGCTCACTAGCTGCTTTGGTCAGCAAAGTACATATTCAGCGGAAGTCTCAAGTGTAATTAATGCTTCCCCTGGGAACGTTAGCCCTGAAGTCCAGCTCTCATGAAGCTAAGTGAAAAAACGTGGGCAGCTTGGGTGGCTCAGCAGTTGAGCGCCGCCTTTGGCCCAGGGAGTGACCCTGGAGATCCAGGATTGAGCCGAGCTCCGCATCGGGCTCCCTGCACGGAGCCTGCTTCTCCCTCTGCCTGTGTCTCTGCGTCTCTCTCATGAATAAATAAATAAAATCTTAAAACCAAACAAAACAAAAACATGTCGCCAAGAAGGAAGGTGTAGCCTTGCCAGTTCCAGCCCCTGATGGAACATCTCAGGAACTAAGTGCCGAGGAAACTGGGAAAGATGAGAGATCAGGCAAGGTTTCTCTCATAATGAGAATAATTACTCTGCTGGGACTCTATTCCCCTCAAGCTGGCTCACGCCGACTCTGCCAACGCGAACCACCCTCTACTCCGATCCATCCAGAGTGGCCTTCAGCACCTACTTCTAAATATGGATAAAAATGCAACAAGGCCACGCTGGAGGACGTGATGGGGAACCCGTGGTTGCCCCCCCTCACCTGGTCTGGAAGAGCCCTCCTTAATCCTCATTGGTTTTGCCAAATTGACACGAATCGTCCGTCCAAAGAGCTCAGATTCATTCTGAAAAGATTGGAAGCCCAGCTGCTTAAACTGTCAGGTTGAGAGAGTCAGACAGCTTTGCATTTGCTTCTGATACATCCGAGACACACACCCGTGACCAGTTCTCCCTTAATCCGTGAGCCCCGAACAGCAAGCTCTGTGCCCACCCCCCGGCAGCCCAGGGCTTGCAGGCAATCTCCCCCCATCACACATCTCCTTTCTTTCCTACTAGCAGAGACCTATGCTCCTGAAAATGACTCCAGGTCCAGAGTGCCCTGGATACACATAGTTTCCAACTACTTGAGTTCACCTTCCAAAGTCAAGATCTGCTTTGAGGGGATCCCTGGGTGGCTCAGCAGTTTAGAGCCTGCCTTCAACCCAGGGTATGATCCTGGACATCCGGGATCGAGTCCCACGTCGGGCTTCCTGCATGGAGCCTGCTCCTCCCTCTGCCTGTGTCTCTGCCTCTCTATGTCTCTCATAAATAAATAAAATCTTAAAAAAAAAAAAAAAGATCTACTTTGAAATGGTGAGAAATGATCTCTGGGGGCTGAGGAATATGTTCGGCGAATGGGTGACCGAACAGGAATAAAGAACTTTATCATCCAAAGATAACTGGTATCAGGAAGAGTCACTTCACGTAAACCCATTTAGAGCAGTTTAAAAAAAATTCCATGGCAAAAAGTGAAGGAAAAAAAGGGGGGGGGGAGGACTGGGACTTTATTGGGATGAAACTAAAAACAAGGGAAATAAATTTCAGGTTTAACTTCGTACTAATTTGTAGAACAAAGATGTAATGGGTGGTTAATTTGCAGTTTTTTTTCCAACAAAGCTCTATCAACAGTGCGACATGACATCATTGCGCTTCCTATCGGATGTGAAAATCACAAAGATCTCAAAGAGGGCACAGATACTCCAGCGTTTTGTCACTACTCCCAAAGACCTCTCCAGGATATCCAAACCATCGGCATCAGTAGCACACCCTGCCGTTATCCTTACTGGGAGCTCTTCTCACTTGTAATTGGTCTGAAATTCTGCTTCTGCAAAATAGGCGATTTCACTGTGCAATTTCCCTAGAGCTTGCAATTTATTATCCTAGACATGGGGTGGCCAGTGAGAGACTAGCCAAAGACAAGGATTTGTATTTCTATTACTGTTAAACAGGGAAGGACTTCTGAGTAAGGACCAATCTTATTCAATTCACAGTGAATCTTTGCACATGACAACGACACTTTTTACTTCCCCGTGCGACCTCGTAACTTTGGCAGTTCGGCAAAGCAACAGATGCACGGGGACCCCTCTGTACCACCAAAAAGGAACTTCAGTAAGAATGAAGATTCTCAGCCATACCATGTTGTCAATAGCTGCTGCAGCATCCTGCCGAGAAAATACAAGGTCAAGTTTAGCTTCCTGTGGGGTCTACATGCTGACTCAGCAGAAGAAAAACAGAGTAAAGCAAAACATAATGGGGGGGGGGTCACACCTACATCGCCTGCCTAGGTTCGATGTGTGTCTATCAAAGCACTTCCTGGCTGAGTTTAGAGCGGGTGGTGCAGCAATTTGCCATGGAGCAGAAGGCCTGAGAAATAATCAGCAGCGCTGCCAGGCAGGAGGCTCACTGGGCAGAGCTGCAGGAGCTGGGCAAGACAAGAGGGGCAGGCCTGGGCTGTTAACAGTCTACATTCTGATTAACTGAGGGAAGCTTTCTACCAAGCAGCACTTCTTGTCTCTATGGAAACATCAGCAAGAGGCCCAGAAGCGGACCGAACGGAGACCAGCTGCCTTTGTAATCAGTACCAACACTAAAACTAGCCAAAGACTAAATACAGGTGACACAGAATTTTCTCACCTCCGCCAACTCAAATTCAACAAAAGCAAATCCTCGGTGTTTTTCTGAGGTGGGGGGAAAAAGGGAGGAAAACAAAAACAACTTATTACCATGTGGGGCAAGGAAGGTGAAGTCACTCACAGGCCATATCCAGACACTAGAAATTCTATCCAATCACTGTCTTGAAGAAGGAATCTCCCCCTTCGATTCTTCCCAGTTTAAACATTTCAGCAATACTGAACTTTGTCTTTCAGAAAACATGGCTAGATAATGTACTATACTTTCAATCTTTCAGTCAATTATTCTACCAAAGCCAAATTAAAACCTTAACCTCTGCATACGAGGCAAGTAGAAAAATGAAGTTATTTAACTTCTCAATTATTGATCCCTCATTTTGAGCATCAACTGTGCATAAAGTATGAATCCTCAAACCTGGATGAGGATGCTCACTCCTTTTTCCTCAGAAAAATACTGATCTAAGGCCAAGCACAACCGTGTTAATTTAATTAAACCTACTAACTTTAGAGAGCCAATATAACCTTACAGGCACACCTCATTTTATTGCATTTTGCTTTGTTCCATGTCATAGATAGCAGTTTTTCATAAACTGAAGGGAACCTGGCAGCAATTTTATTGGTACCAGTTTTCCAACAGCACTTCCTCTCTTTGTCTTTTGTGTCACATGTTGGAAATTCTCACACTATTTCAAACTTTTCATTATTATTATATTTGCTATGGTGATCTGTGATTACAGGATTTACAATTCGCTGAAAGCTCATATAATAGTTAGCCTTTTTTAGTAATGACATATTTTTTTAAAAAAAGACTTTATTTATTTGAGAGAGTGCAAGCACGAGCGAGGGGAGGGGCAGAGGAAGAGGGAGAAGCAGGCTCTCCATTGAGCCAGGAGCCTGACTCGGGGCTCCATCCCAGGACCCTGAGACCATGACCTGAGCCAGAGTCAGATGCTTAACTGACTGAGGCACCCAGGCACCTCAGCAATAAAGTATTTTTAAGTTAAGGCAGTACGTTACTTTTTTAGACATAATGCCGTAACTTGCGTGCACTGGGAAACCAAAAATTTCATTTCACTAGTTTCATGGTGATATTGGTTTGGTTGTGGTGGTCTAGAACCCAATCTGCAGTATCTCCAAAGTATGCTTGTATTGTTTTTTTACAGATAAAGATCCCAGACCCAGAGAGTTTAAAGACCTTGCTAATAATCAGGCAGGGTGATGACAGATTTAGGCCTAGAACTCCAATCTTAAAAATGACAACTAAGTAAGTGGGTGAGCAGGGTGCCCGGGTGGCTCAGATCGTTAAGCACCCAACTCATGATTTCAGCTGAGGTCATGATCTCATGAGCTGCTGAGCTGCTGTCTGGCTCAGCGTTCAGCAGGGAATCTGCCTGAGATTCTCTCCTTCTTCCCATCTCCCCACTCCTGTGCTCATGTGCTATCTCTAAAATAAATAAATAAGGGGGATCCCTGGGTGGCTCAGCGGTTTGGTGACTGCCTTTGGCCCAGGGCGCGATCCTGGAGTCCCAGGATTGAGTTCCGCGTCAGGCTCCTGGCATGGAGCCTGCTTCTCCCTCTGCCTATGTCTCTCCTTCTGTCTCTCTATGTCTATCACGAATAAATAAATAAAACCTTTAAAAATAATAATAATAAAATAAATCTTAAAAAAGAAAAGAAAGCAAAGGCAAGATAGAAAACCTGCAATGAACCTGTGATGCCAATTGAAGGAAATATCACCCAGGAAAGCAGAGGCCAAAGCCCTTCAGCTGGGGCTGAGCTTCCCTGCTGCCCTGATCAACAGTACAGCTGCCAAAAGAAAGCAGCAGGGGGTGGTGGGGTACCCAGCAGGTAGTTTGAAACAACAGTCAGATCTCCATGTAGTTCAAAACCTATCTTCCTATTGGGCTATTGAAAAAAAAAATTAAGATTTTATTTATTTATTCATGAGAGACACACAGAGAGGCAGAGACACAGGGAGAGGAAGAAGCAGGCTCCATGCAGGGAGCCCCATGAGGGACTCGATGTTGGGACCCCAGGATCACGCCTTGGGCCGAAGGCAGGTGCTAAACCGCTGAGCCACCCAGGCATCCTGGCTATTGAAAATCTTCTCTCACACTCGACAGATGGGACTCTCTGCAAAGTTATGTCATAGCTTATAACCTTATAACCACAAGCCTCTGAACATTCCTTCTGCATCAAGATCCCTGTCATGCTGCCCTAATGAGGCACCCTCTTGAGCTTTCCAACATATCAACCATATTTAGAATGCAGTTAGAATTTTTTTTCCCCTCTTAGGATTGTGAACATGACATGAAAAGGACTCACCTGTTTCATAATCCAGAGGAATCTGAATATCTGTGATGTCTCCAAAAGGAATAAAAGCAGCATGAAGAACTTTGTCGTCCACCTCCTCTGCCAGCCCACCTGCGAAGATGCCAAGCGCCTTCTGAGCCACTGTCCTCCACTCTCTGGAGAAGTCCCTGCAGCCCAGTTAGCACGTGACAGCCACGGAGAGGGGGCTGCTCCGTCCAGTCCTCGGGGCTCAGAAGCACGTTTCTCATTTGCTCCCTCACCCAACACTCATGAAACACACCTCCTCACCCTTCCTGCGGACGCGCATCTTGGCGCCAGGATTACTGCAGCAGCTTCCTAGCTGGCCTCCCTCTTCTCCGCGCAGCCAACTAGAGCAAACCCGGGAACGTGCAGATTTTCACCCATCACTTCCCTGCTTCAACTCCTTCGGAGATTTCCCACCGTCCTCAAGATACAGTACGAACTCCCCGCCCCGCCCATCTCTTCGCCTTCTTTCCCTTTGCTTCCTCAGTTCTCTGGGTTTCCCGCAAGATGACCCCTTTGCCCCATGGGTGCAGGGCTATTTCACACCTCGGGGGTTTTTGCTCTTGCTGCTCCCCTTTCAGTAAACGTAACGACCCTACTTGGGCCATAAAGCGCTCATCAAACTTCGCTATTGAGGTCATTCTCACTTCCATCGGGTGAGTCCGGGGACTCTCTGCTTCCGGGCCGGGGCCCGGGCCGAGCCCCCGCTGCAGCGAGGATCTAGAGCCTCGTCAGACGCCTCTCCCAATCCTCCGGGCCCAGCAGGCGAAGCGGTCCCCATCAGAGCTCAGCGGGCTTGAAGGGAGCCGGCGAGACTGCTACGGCGGCCGAGCTCCCTGCAGCCAAGCAGTACCGCCACGGACCCGGCCGAGACCCAGGCTCGCCACCCTCTGCGTCCCTAGACGCCTTCCCGCCCCACGCGGAGACCCCTGGGGGCGAGCGAGCCCCGATTCCGCCGGCTCTGCGCCTGCTCACCAACGTACAGCACGCGCTTGGTGGCGGCCATCTTGCTCCCGCGCGCACCCGCCGGAAGCCGGAGTTCGGCCCGCCCCTTCACAGGCCCCGCCCGTCCACAGGCCCCGCCCCCAGGCGCTCGCAGCCCCGCCCCCTCCGGCCCCCGCGCCCCTAGGCGCTCGCAGGCCCGCCCTCTCCGCCCCGCCCCGCCCTAGGCGCTCGCAGGCCCGCCCTCTCGCCCCGCCCCGCCCCAGGCGCTCGCAGCCCCGCCCCTCCGGCCCCGCGCCGCCCCTAGGCGCTCGCAGGCCCCGCCCTCTCCGGCCCCGCCCCGCCCCTAGGCGCTCGCAGGCCCCGCCCCCGGCTGTCCCCGTCCGGGCGGTGGGTTCTCGCCGTGAGCCCCGCGGCCCCACGCGGTGGGTGCTCGGCCGAACCGCCGGCTCCGCGGGTAGTAAACCATCTGCAAACTACGGGCCACCCCGCCCCACCCGCGGGCCCTTGGGCACCCTGGCAGCTGCAGGTGGTTTTTACTTATTTTATTTAAAAAATATATTTTTTAAGATTTTATTTATTTATTCATGAGAGACCCACAGAGAGAGACAGAGGCAGAGACACAGGCAGAGGGAGGAGCAGGCTCCATGCAGGGAGTCAGATGCAGGACTCATCTTGGCACCCCAGGATCACGCCCTGGGCTGAAGGCGGCGCTAAACCGCTGAGCCATCCAGGGATCCCCTTACGTTTTTAAGTAGACGGGGAGAACTTTTTAAATAATCTTAGCAGGGATGCCTGGGTTAAGCGTCTGCCTTGGGCTCAGGGCATGATCCTGGAGTCCCAGGATCAAATCCCACATCGGTCTCCCTGCATGGAGCCTGCTCCTCCCTCTGCCTGTGTCTCTGCCTCTCTTTCTTTCTCTCATGAATAAATAAAATCTTAAAACAAAGTCCAAATTTAAAAAAATTAAAAATAAATAAAATAAATAATCTTAGCAGACGTGAAAATTTATGAAATCCAATTTTCAGTGTTTATAAAGTTTTATTGGAACACAGCCATGCTCATCGCTTGCCTGTGGCTGCTTTCACACTACAGGGTCAGGAGACCTATGGTCCCTTCACAAGGCCTGAAATACCTGCCCCCTTACTCTTGGACTAAGCCAATTCAGAAATCGCAGATTGCCATTTGTGGCAGAAACTAATGGGGCCACCTGTTTTCCATAGAGCTGCGGGTTAAGACCTCTTTGAGGTCACATTTAAGCTGAAGCCTAGGGGCACGTGGGTGGCTCAGTCGGTTAAGGGGGGATATGATTTAGGCTCAGGTCACGATCTCAGTGTGGGCAGGTCAAGCTCTGCTCTCCCTCCCGCTCCCAGCTGGGTGAGGCCTGCTTAAGATTCTTTCTCTGCCCCCCACCCCAGGTGTGCGTGCTCTCTTTCTCTCTAAATAAATAAATAAATAAATAAATAAATAAATAAATAAATAAATAAATAAATAAATAAAATAAAGTCTCCTCAAAGCTAAAGCCTAAAGGAAGAAGAAGCTGGGAGAGGAGGAAGCAGGGAGATTTTAAGGAGATCCACTTGTGCACACTCGAGGGATGGAAAGGTCGGAGTGTGCAGGGGGTGGTCATGAGATCAGGCAGGAAAGGTAGGCAAGGGTGACGCCACCCCATAAGCCATGTGCGGGATTTGGCAGCTTGGAGCAGTTACAGGAGGTTGTAACAGGGAATTCATGATCACATTTTATGTTCTAAAATAGTGCTGTGGGGATGCCCGGGTGGCTCAGGGGGTGAGCATCTGCCTTCGGCTCAGGTCGTGACCCCTGGGGTCCTGGGATGGAGTACCCCCTCGGACTCCCCTCAGGGAGCCTGCTTCTCTCTCTGCCTCTGTGTATCTCTCATGAATAAATAAATAAATAAATAAGGTCTTTGAAAATAAATTAAATTAAATTAATAATAAAATAGTGCTCTGACCACTGTGGCCAGAAAGGATTGTTGGGAATCCTGGAGACCAGAAGGTCAATGCAGTTGACTAGGAAAGTGTCCCTTCAATCTACCCTCCAGCCTTTTCCTAGGGTGATCTTTTTTCAAAATAAACCTAAACTCTCCAGAGCTCCCTTCCTTTTTTTTTTAATTTTTATTTATTATTTATGATAGTCACACAGAGAGAGAGAGAGAGAGAGAGGCAGAGACACAGGCAGAGGGAGAAGCAGGCCCCATGCACCGGGAGCCCGACGTGGGATTCGATCCCGGGTCTCCAGGATCGCGCCGTGGGCCAAAGGCAGGCGCCAAACTGCTGCGCCACCCAGGGATCCCAAGAGCTCCCTTCTTAAACACTGGTGGATACTGTGGCTCCTAGGGTCCTGGCAAGGGGCCACAGCTGTCAAGTCAACCCCAACCTGTGTACTAATTCTGGCCCTTACCACGGGCCCCTTTCCCCTTGCCTCTGCCTCTGGTTCATCTGGGTCTCTCCTCCCCCTAACAGGAGGCACCCGCCAGTCCTTGTCAGAGGTCCTCGTTAAGCTTCCCTCACATCCCCCCCACAGGCGGGGGCCACAGCCCTCCAGGGTCAGAAGTCGACTAGAACACATGCTGTCATTGCAGTCAGGTGGGTTGGCCTGTCCCACTCTGACACCAAGGCCTGCGCGCCTGTCGTGTTTCCAGAGCCACGCAGTAGCTGACCTCACCACCCTCAGGCCAAACCAAGGAAATGCTCCTTAGAAATCAGGCTCTGAGATCTATTTATGTCATCTCACTGGGTCCCTGGCAGTAGTGCAGATCAACCAGGTCACTCTCCAGAAGAATCTGACCAGGTATCCTTTAAGTACGAGTGCTATAATTTTTAAAAATAATAATATTTATTATTTATTTATTTATTTATTATTATTTATTTATTTGACTTTTGTCTCCAATACCTAATACAATTGCTCTTGTGCCCCTGTGCCTCAGCCACATAACAAATTGAGAAGTGTTTTTTCATGAAAAACTGGTGTACTTCAGGTAAGAACAGCAGGAGTCTGTGGTGTTTTGCCTGGGGCTGCTCTCATGTCTTCCTTCTTTCCCTCCAAGTAAGGAACTTCTTCGAGGCCATTGTGGCTCAAATGGGGTGAGCCGCGGGGAAGCAGTAGGGGGTGAGGCCAGAAAGGCTGCTGGGAGATCAGCTCATGGAAAGCTTTGCAGGGGATTGTAAGACCTTTGGCTTTTATTCTGAATTAAATGGGAAGACACCACAGGTTTGCTCAGAGGATCGACAACTCTAATGTGTTTTAGTGGAACCATGCTGGCTTCTGTGGAGAGAGAGGTCAGTTAGCAAGCTATTGCAAAAATTCAGTAGAGAGATGGTGAGATGGTGCAGAGGGAATAGTGGTGGAGGTGGTGAAAATTTATACTGTTTGCTTTATACGCTGCAGGATGCTATTTGCTAGCATTTTACTTTTAGGAGTTTTGCAAATATTTTCACAAGTTTGGGCTAAATTTTCTTTTCTCATACTAGCATCCCAGATGTGTTTGGCATCTGTTAAGAGGCCCACAATCTTTATCTGCAATTCTAAAATGCAAAAGTTCTGAGAACAATAGGTGGTTTTGTTTGTTTTAGGGAGAGTACTTTTTCAGCAAACTCATTTGGCAGCAAAACCTGATCTGAATTGGGGTGCCTGGGTGGCTCAGTCTGTTGAGTGTCTGCCTTTGGCTCAGCTAAAGGTCTTAGGATATGGTCCTGGGTTGGGCTCCCTGCTCAGCGAGGAGTCTGCTTCCTCCTCTGCCTCTGCTTGCCACTCCCTGCTCTCTCTTTCTCTCTCTGTCAATAAATAAAAATCTTAAAAAAAAAACTGATCTGAACTGATGTGAGCCTATTTATAGTTTTTATTTATCCTACTCGGCATGTGATGCTGCAAAGATATTAACATATTTGGTTGTGGGAGCTGGTCTAGACTTGCTGGAAGTGTTGTACACAACGTATACCACTGCATTATCTTTCTAAACTCCCAAACCCCAAAGAATTTAAGATAAAAGATTGCAGACTTAGTTGAGCCTAATATAATGAATTGGTCAGTTTTCTTTCCTTCCTTCCTTCCTTCCTTCCTTCCTTCCTTCCTTCCTTCCTGTTGTTATTTGAAATACTTTGTATAAGGGATAATTTATTTCTTTGAAATGGGGGACACTCGTTTGTAAAGCTCTCTGGGTTTCATGTGCTGTTGTTATTGTTGGTAGCAGGTGACTTACTTCTCATGGGACTCACTTCTCGGTGCCCCGGGTGCCCTGCAGCACCAGCTGAGTCAAGCCTTGCTGATTCCATTTGAAGAAGCCTGATCTTGCAATTCGAAGACATCAGAGACACTACAGGCCAGCGGTTATTGCAGAAACTACTGGCTTTTTGCCGGACAGTGTGGGGAGAAAAGGGCTTTTCAGGAATTGTATCCGGTAGAATTATAGAGTGCAAATTTTAATCTTACCTTTAGGGGGCAGTCATGGACCACAAATTGGATGCTTTAAAAAAATGATCTAAAATAGATTAAACTGAGTGCCCTTTTAGGTATGTGTTAGTTTTTTTGCTTTACAGATGAGGAAACAGCCTTAGAGAAGCTAAGTAACTTAACTAGATCATGGAAACTCTAAGTGGCATAAGGTAAAGCCGGTAAAGATCTACTTAGCACTAGAGTCCATGGTTGGTTTGTTTTTTTAAGATTTTATTTATTTGGGAGAGAGACAGAGCATGAGTGAGAGGGAGGGGCTTGGAGGGGGTGGACAAACAGACTCCCTGCTGAGTAGGGAGCCCATTCCAGGGCTTGATAGTCCAGGGACTTGATCACAGGACACTGGGATTGTGACCTGAGTCGAAGGTAGCCACTTAACCAACTGAGCCACCCAGGCACCCCTAGAGTCCATGTTCTTAACAACACTATATTCTTGGTCTCTCTCTTTCTCCCTCTCCCCT